TTAAGCTTTTGGGTTTAGGATTTAAGTCCAACAAGTATGCATTGTTTTTTTTTTTTTTGATCAGCCAAAGAAAATTTAAAATTAATGAAGCACAAGGGGTGCTCCTGCCCATATACAAAAATAAAAATGGTTACCACAAAACAGGAGAGCCAATCTCCTGAAAACCAGCAACTGATACAGCATACTAATCACAAACATAAAACCACAGAAGCCCACATACTACAATTATGAATCAAAACAGACCCGCCTAGCCATCATCTCAGCGGCACGCAAGCTTTAAAGAACTGCTTCCGCAACCTTTTATGGTTTTTGACAGCCATAGCACACTCCATTGGGTAAGTCTGCCATTCGTAAAAAGAGAACCCACAGCCATTGACTTTGGCTTTAATCCATATAAATGTTTTAACTTGCATCCTTTCCATCAAGTTTTCTAGCAAACCCTCGTCTTTTCTAAACACTAGAACATTCCGACTATACCATAGATACCAGGCGACCACTAGGAAAATACATGAACCCAACTCTTTTCCAACCAATCTGCCCAAACTTCCAATGAAAAAATCTGCCATTCCCCTAACTGTATTACGAAAAACAGACTCCAAACCCCACCACCTCAACACCTGAGTCCACACTAACCATGCATTATAACACAAACAGAATAAATGGTTTACTTCCTCCGTCTTCCCCTTACAGAAATCGCAAAGCAACCCCTCCTGTAACACTATCCCACGTTTTTGCAAGTTATCCTTAGTTGGGAGTCTATCTAAGCACAAACGCCACCCAAAAAAAGCCACTTTGGATGGCACCAATCTACACCATATTAGTTTACACATCTGATTCTCCAAAACACCCTCCGAAGTAGCTAGAAAATCATACGCTATATTCACCCCATATTTGCCATCCGTCGCATGAATCCACTTCCAAACATCCCCTGCCCCCTCCTTTAGTTTGACACCCTCCAGCATCTTTTCCAACCGCACCTCCTCATCCTTCTCTCTCCCTATTGTACCCCTCCTCCACTCCATCCTCCACCACCATCTACCCTCTACCCAACACCCCATCTCCATAACCTTTCCATCCTTCTTCACAGAAAGAGCAAATAACCTAGGGAACAAATCCCTAAGACTTTTAACACCAATCCACTTATCAGACCAAAAACCCACTCTATTTCCTTCACCCACCTCCCACTTGAAACCCACAGCCAATATATTCCTCAGTTTGAGAGATCGCCCCCCGATCCGAATAATGTCCCTCCAAATCTTGGACACCTTTAAACACTCTATCGTAGTGATATCGACCTCCCTCCTACCCCCATAATATTTCTCCCTCACCACCCTTTTCCATAAACTCTCGACCCCGTCACCAAACCTATACCACCATTTTCCTAACAAAGCCCAATTTTTATTCTGTAAGTCAGTCACCCCGAGCCCCCCCTTCGCCTTAGCTCGACATACATATTCCCATTTAACCCATGGAATTTTCTTATTTAGATCTGCCCCGCCCCATAAGAACCTCCTTTGAATTCTAATCAACTCCTCAATCACAGCATTAGGAAATAAATATAAAGACATATAAAAAATAGGAAGAGCAGAGAGTACCGAATTTAGCAAGACGAGGCGGCCTCCAAAGGAAAGAGTAGTAGCCTTCCAGACAGCGAGTTTGGTACGGAATTTGTTTACAACCAGCTCCCAATATTTCTTGTTCCCAGATTTACCGTCAACGGGCATCCCCAGATAAAGAAACGGTGCTCTACCAACCCTACAATGTATCATACCCGCTGATCCTTTCAGCCATTTCTCTGACACATTATAACAAAAAATGCTACTTTTGCTGAAATTGATCCTCAAGCCCGACATAAGCTCAAACCATTTTAGGATGTCCTTCACCGTACGTATATTCTCAGCATCCGCTCTGCCCATAATGACTGTATCATCAGCAAACTGGAGCATCGACACGGAGAGACCTTTCTTTCCAATCTCAATCCCATGCAGCATTCCCTCCTTTACTGCTCTCTGTACCAGACCTTGTAACCCCTCTGCCACCATCAAAAAGAGGAAAGGAGATAGAGGATCACCTTGTCTCAACCCTTTACCCACCTCAAATTCCTTTGTCGGGCTTCCGTTTACCAGAACCGAGATTCTGGCCGTTGAAAGGCACTCCTTAATCCAGCCTCTCCATTTTGTTCCAAACCCAAAACTCTCCATCATCCAATCCAAAAAAGCCCAATCTACGCAATCATAAGCCTTTTCGAAATCTGCTTTAAACACAAAGGCTGGCTGTTTCTTCTTCTTTATTTCATCCACAACTTCATTCAGCACCAAGACACTATCCACCAGCTGCCGGCCTCGCACAAAAGCAGATTGCGTTTCACTCACTATTTCTGATATTACTGATTTCAATCTATTAGCTAGCACCTTCACTAATAATTTATAGACACATCCTATCAAGCTAATGGGTCTATAATCCTTTAATTCTACTGCATTCAACTTTTTAGGAATCATGGTTAAAAAAGAAGAGTTTAGACCCCTCACCAATTTACCATTACAGTGGAATTCCGAAAAAAAGTTGATGAAGTCCTCCTTTATGCAGTGCCACGCAAATTTAAGAAAGTTAAAGTTGTAATCGTCGGGTCCTGGAGCCTTTGACCCTTCACAGCTTCTTAAGCCTTCCTCTATTTCTTCAACCGAAAAGGGTCTTTCCAGCCAATCTTTTTTCTCCTCGGATAGCTGCTGGAATTTGATATCCCCAGGCTTTGGTCTATTCCATGCCTCTCCTTGAAATAATCTGCTGAAGTATCTGACGATCTCATTTTTAACTAAAACTGGATCATCAATCCATGCCCCGTCACACTTTAAACCCGCAATATTGTTTTGTGCTCTTCTTCCTTTTGCAACTCTATGAAAAAAGCGGGTATTTGCGTCTCCTTCATGCACCCATTTACTTCTTGACTTCTGCTTCCAGATAATTTCCCTCTTTCTCAAAACATCCCACATCTCAGCAAAACCCTCTTGCCTTTTCACAATCTCAGCAACTTCCAGGTCTGATATTTCGTTTTGCATATCCACTTGCTCAATCTTTTCTACAGCTTGTTCATATTGAGCTTCCATGTTCCCAAAAACATCCTTGTTCCAGCCTTTTAAAAAACCTTTTAACAATCTCAACTTTTGCTGGCATTTATACCCTGCAAAACCCTCCACCATCATCTCACTCCATTTATCTTCTACAAACTTCTTAAAATCTGGATGTTGTTGCCATGCGTCTAAAACCCGAAAGGGTCTTGGTCCCCAATCTGATGTTCTGGATTTCAACACGATAGCACAATGATCAGAGATACTCCTAGGCAATCCTTGTTGTATCCACTCTTCTTCCCCGTTACACATCTCCGTACTCAATAGGAATCTGTCCAATCTACTCTTTGCTGTGCCGTCTGGCTTGTACCATGTATACCTTCTATTCGACAGCTTAACATCCACCAAATCCGTTGTCACAATAAACTCATCAAAATCCTTCATATCTGGGCTCTCCCCAGATCTTCCTCGTCTCTCCTCAGGACCTCTTACTGCATTAAAGTCCCCTGCTATCACCCAACACCCTTCCTTGTCTGTCACCATTTTCCTCAAAACCTCCCACAAACCAGCCTTCTTCTGTCTATCAGTTGGCCCATATACGTTAATTAGAAAATACTGCTTTTTATTTGCTCCCCATTCCCCTGCACATCCCACATATCCGTCACCAGTAAAAACTTCCCTCTTAACAAACTGTCTCCTATCCCACATACATATTAAACCCCCTGAGGCTCCGGAAGATCCCTTCGCCACCCAATCGAACTCATCAGAATTCCATAACTGTCTACAGATACTTACATCCACATTTTCTAACTTTGTTTCCTGCAAGAACAGAAAATCAGGCTTCTCGACTTGAACCAGCCTTCTCACTTCCTTTTTCTTCACCGACCCACCCAAACCCCTTACATTAAAAGATATAAATTTCATAAATCAATTCTATACACACACAACTCCAATCATCACAAAACCGCCCTTACCTCTCTACCGCGTCCCTCCTCTCTGCCCCATCTCGGTCTACTGCCTCTAGAAGCCTTGATTGAATCTCCTCCTCATTTTTATCAAAAATAAAACCCAATCTCTTCCCTACCCCCATCAGCCGGCGCACCTCAAGCATATTCATCTCCATCCGCAACACCCTGTTTCTATTTACAATACACTCATTTGAAATTGATTCAGCAGCAACGATGTGTACCTTGTCATCTCCAGCTTTGCAAGTTTCTGCTCTCCGTGCCTGTCGCTGCTTTGTTCTGGGTGTTACCCACGTTGCTTCTTTTGCCCAGATCTCCTCCTTGGTCTCTGGGTAACATTCTTGAAGGAGCCTCTGTTTTTTGCTTTCCTTTTTTGAGATTTCCGATTTCTGCAAAGCCTTTGGGTTTACCGGAATTTGAGCATTTAAAAAGGAGTCCTCCATGTCTGTGTCTTTTATCTGACCCCAACCCATCCTTTTGTTCGGCCCACTTCCTTCTACTGGCCCAACAGAACTCTCTCTTTGTGGCCCACACTCCTTGGACAGCCCAGCGATTTCATCCTCTTCCAGATCTGTCTCTTGCACAGTTTGAAAACATCCCTCCGTTTCCGTTACACTCTTCAGATTTGAATTAGACTCCGTATCCTTCATTAAATGCTCTGAACCATAACTTACATCCTCACCGTCTCCAATCACATCCAAAGCCATTTCCGGATCCTCGTTCTGACACCATGAGATTGAGTAATCGGACTCCGATTCCATGTCATTTTTCCGGTCATTCTCCGATAGCCACCAGTCCGGGTCAGAGCGCCACTCCTCTTCAGTTATCTCTATTTCAAACACCTGCTCTCCTACCTTCAACTTAACTTTCTTTGCAATTTTACTGGCCTCCGAGCATAGGATCAGAACTCTCCCATCCCATAATATTGCTTTCTTCTTTGTGTCCTCGTGAACCAGTAAAACTTCTCCGATTGACTCTCTTATCATCTGAAAACACCTCTCCCCCCATGCCTTTAGAGGCACTCCCGAAATGCGCACCCACATCATGCGGCTTATCTCCTCTGGTGCCTTCTCCCATGGGGCTATAGACTCGAACCACATATCAAACATCTCTTATTGTGCTTCTTGTAATCAGCTAAGCGCCCTGCAACTTTTTCAGTTAAAAGTACCCTTCTTCCCCCCATTGGTGATAGCAATATTGAGCCCCCGTCTGCGTCCAATTGCTCTTGGATCTCCGATACCAGCACCATTGCCCTCACCACTGCGATCATGCCGCCTTCAAGCCATTTCAGCTCATCACTCGTCGGAATATACTCAATAGTCCTCTCTGATTTTTCTCCCTCCTTATTCACCTGTACCCTTGTTTTATCTCCATCCTTATTCTCCTGTACTCTTGTTTTGTCCTCTTCCTTTTTTGAGATTTCTTTTGTTCCCTCTTCCTGTGATTGTTCTGAAGCCTTATCCACTTCCTTTCCTCTGCCCTTCACTGCTTGTACATAAGAGTGCCCTGGTTGAACCAACCTGTTCATGGAGCTTGTTGAACCGCTGCCTTTAATCGCACCTTGAACCTTCCTGGTTGTTGCTGGTTTCCTTTGTTTGTCACTTGCAATCTTGACTCTCATCTTATACGAGCCAATCCATATCTCATTTAGCCTCCTCTCCATTTGCATCTCATTCTTGACCCCTGATAGTCGCACAAAACCATACCTCTTTCCTTTCTTATCTCGCTTTCTCGGAATATACACATCGACGACCTTGCCGTACATCTGAAAACTGTTCCATAGAAATTTTGCCTCTAATTCCTCTGGGAAGTTATAAAAGAAGAAGGTCGTTGCCCATCCGGAAAACTGAGAACTGTCACCTGCAAACCTGTTCCTGAATCCTTGCCGCTGTCTGAAGCCACTGTCTTTCCTGGCTGCCGCGCTCCTTGCGAAAACCCGATTGCTCTCCATTTGCTTACAGTTTGCTATTGTTGCGTATCATTCTCATATGTTGGAAAAAAGTTATTAATACTTTCTAGTGTTGAGGGTTGAAAAATAATGAGTAATGACAAACCAATAATGTTTTTTAAGTTGCCATTACTTATTATTTTCAAGCATTTAGAGCTTGAAAATAGTTGATAACTTACAGGGATACTTATTATTTTCTAGTGTTGAGTGCTGATAAATAGTTGATATTTTATGGGCATTCCTATTATTTATAATATGCAGAAAATAGAAACAATTCATTTATACATTACTATAATTATATATTATTAATAAATATTTATAAATATAAAATAATATTTAATATGAATAAAATTAGCTATAAAACAATATTATATATATTAATCAAGATTATATATACAAAAAATGGTTATATATACAAAAATCTTTAAAAACACATGAAATAAACATATACCACATATAATGAAATTAAAGAAATTAAATACATAAAATGTTAATAACAAAACACTACTTTATAAAATATTAAAATTAATTAACACAAACAATTATATTTAACATATTTACTCTATAAACGCAATCATAGATAAAACATTACATAATGCATATAATTTAATAAAAAAAATTAAATACGTAAATATCCCTCAATGCTATTTTTATTTTTTTCAATGGCAAAGATAACTTTATTTGATGGAGTATATGGGGTACTCCTGCCCTTTCACATTTTTTTTTTGCAATACATGTACTAGAGCAGATTACTTGTTACATCCTCTCATCCCTCACACTTATACTAGTAAACCCTCAAACATCAAAAACATTTAGAGGAGGGAGCATACTCCTCCCCATTCTACAAAAACCCTTCGGTGCCCAATTTTCCTTTGCATCAATGCCATGTATCATAAAAACACCTGAAATAAATTAAAGGACAAAGGTACGTTTACCCTCTCCGTTACACACTCCATCACACTCATTCATTGTCCGTTACTTAATCCATCTCTCTCTATTACTACCAGCCCAGCCCTCTTGCTTCTCTCTGCTCTCTTTTCTCCCTCTCTCTGCTTTTGAGTTCTCCATCTGTAGATCTGTTCCCTCCTCCTTTCTTTTTCTTCTTCTTTCCCTCTCCTCCCCTTTTCTTCCTTCTTTTCTCCCTCCTTGATCTGTTGAAGAAGAACCCAGATCTGGGTTCTCTTGGAGAACCCAGATGCCAAGTTTTTATAGCTAATGTAGCACAACACGACATCGCCATAGAGATGGACTTCAACTATAATAGCACGATTGCCGAGCACAATTGGGGAGGAAGATGGCTTTGTGTCGTGGGCAATGCTAGTGGCGAAGGCAACCTTGGCATCCTTAACCTCAATTGCGAGCGCTCGGACGCCAAGGCCATGCGAGGCGGAGAAAGCCAAGCAAGTGGCATGGTCAAAGGTGGGGATGGAAGCAATTTCCGTATGAGAAAATTTCTCCGCTTCAACAATAATGGGTGAATAGGGTGTAGTGAAGAGAAATTGGAGTTGACTCTACCCAGAGATATTTGATAGAGAATCAGAGATATCTAATTTCAAACCAATTTTTTGATTTTATTTTGCCTTTTTTTTTTTAAATTTCTTGTAAGTTGCTAGAAATATATTTTTGATTCTTTGTGACGCTTTTTTGGGTTGGATGTTTGCTTCTTACATAAATGGTAGCAAGATTAAGAAACCCAGCAGTTTCTAAAGTTGAAGAAGATGGAGAAGTTTAGTGGCTACATGCATTACGGAGACCATTAGTATGCATAACGAAAACTGTGAGTGTGTGGTGAGGTGTGTCACGGGAAAGTGTATGTATATCATTATCCAAAATTAAATTAGCTAGTAATATATATGAGAGTTTATGGATAAGAAAAATATGAAAAAAAAAATTGAAAATTAAACTACCAATAAATAGAAATGAGTACTACCTCTTATTTTAAGTAACATACCGAAGGAAGAAGAAGAGGAAATGAAAAATAAAAAGGAAGAGGAATGGAGAGAACAATAGAAAAGCAAGAAGGAAAGTAGAAGAAATGAAGATGAAATGGAAAAGAAAAGGAAGAGGAAATGGAGAGGTGAGGAGAAGGAAGATTAAGATGAGAGAGTGAAATATGAGTGGAGTGAAGGAAGAGAGGAGAACAAATAAAGTGAATTCAGATAAGGGATGAGAAAGATGAAAGAGAAGAGAGAAGAAGAAGGGAGAATATGGTGAGGAAGGGAAGGTTGAAGGTTTATATAGATAAGGGAAAAGATTAGTATACCCTCAGTTTAACACATTTTCTTACACTCGTTTGGTTCAATTATTAAATTTTAATATAAGAACATCCTAATTCAGTTGGTTCTTAAATTCTATATGTATGACTATATTTTTAAGTTTATCTATCTCTAATTTTACACCAAAAAATAATGATTTTTAAAGAGTTTGTTGAATCGATGTATGTACCAATCAATGTCAATATAGATAAACATTATTTTCCATGGCTCAACGCTAGAAAATAATGTAGGTGGGATTTTGAAAATTTTACAAGAAAAAAAAAGCATTGCATGTTGGGCTTCAAATTTCAGATAAAATTATATTTCAACGCTAAAAAATAATACAGGTGGGATTTTGAAAATTAAAAAAAAAAATACTTGAATATTTGGCTCCTAAACTTCTAATAAACTTATTTTCAAGCAGCAAGCACTGGAAAATAATGAAAGGAACTATATTGGAAAATTTGAGGGTGCTTTATATTTTTACGAATTTGAAAAAAGGTAATGTTAGTTGGGTAGGATTATTTTCCAATGCCTATCACTAAAAAGTAACGTGTATAATTTAGTGAGGATGTGTTTTTCAGTGCCAAGTACTAGAAAATAACTTGTGTCAATTGATATGATTATTTTTTAGTGCTAAATGCTAGAAAATAATCTTAGACCATTTTTATCATTTAACTTTGACAATACTACTAGACATTTTCCGGCCCTTAGCACTGAAAAATAAAAAGGTGTCAAACCAAATTATGTTGCTAAATTATTTTTCAGTACTTAGTGCTAAAAAAATAAGTCACGCTTCAAAATTATTTGTAGATTTTGTACATTTTACACCAAGTTCTATTTTCTAACAATCTGCGCACTAGAAATTAATTGGTAGAAAAAGGCCAAATTTCTAGTAACGGATGGTTGTAACTTCTATTTATTTGATTGAATGCTGGAACATATTTAAGATTTAGGGTTTGTTTGGTTAGAGGGCTGAGTCTACTAAAACAAGTTTTTATTGGTAAAATGGTTAGAAAAGTCCTATAGAAATTAGTACATTTTACACCAAGTTCAGTGCTTAGGGTTAGAAAATAAGTTACGCTTCAAAATTATTTGTAGATTTTGTACATTTTACACCAAGTTCTATTTTCTAACAATCTGCACTAGAAATTAATTGGTAGAAAAAGGCCAAATTTCTACTAACGGATGGTTGTAACTTCTATTTATTTGATTGAATGCTGGAAAATATTTAAGATTTAGGGTTTGTTTGGTTAGAGGGCTAAGTCTACTAGTTTTTATTGGTAAAGTGGTAGAGATTTATAGAAAATTGATAAGTTTTGTAGTGAAATTTATTGGATTGTTTATTTTTCTGTATTTAGTAAGAAATTAGTATAGGATAGAAAAGTTGTCAAATGGGTCTTGCCTACAGAAGGTTGAGAGAAAACTTTTTTTCTTTTTAAAAAGTATGGAGAGAAAAATTTACAAGTTGAGAATTATATAAGGGAAAATAAAGGTTAAAAATGCTGCTTTTACTTTTTCTTTTATTGTGATATTAATGTATAAAAATATATAAATAATCTTATAAAAAAGAAAGTTTAAAAAAGTTCAGGAAAAAAGTGAGTTGGCAACACACCTCAAAGATTTGTTAGCAATTCACGCAAAATACCCTTTGGTTTTTGTTTTTTAGTTGGTCATAATAATTACATACTAAAAATGGTTGTTTTTTTAGGATATTGATTAGTATATTTTTTGGTTTAATATATTGTACAATATATTTATTAAAAAAATATATTTTCTAGATCTAAAATTAAAGGTAAAAAATTTTAAAAATGCAGTTAAACTATATGCATATAAGAACAGACTGTACTTATATTGTATTTTAATAACTAATTATATTATATTTTAATAATTAAACCAAATAAGTGTCAAAATGTGCATTGAACTGAATGATGTGTCAATCATTTTTCTTTTTTCAATAAATCATACTAAAAATGGTTGTTAATCTATTGTATAAGGGTTAGGGTACCTTTACACACTTTTGAAAATTATAATAATTGAAAAAAAAAAAAGGAGAGAGTTGGTTCAAAGTTGATAAAAAGAAGAAAAATAATTGGTACACATTTTGATTTAATATATATGTTAATATATTTATTAAAAAATTATTATTTTTAAATTTAAATTAGTAAATAAGAGAAAACTTAATTAACGACCTGTTGATATAAGAAGAAGGTCGATTCCCTTTAAATAAGGTTTTAGTTCGAGTCTTATGAATATAAAAGTAGGCATTGGAAGAGTTTCTTGTTTTATGAGATATGACGCGATTCTATTTTAGATTAGTTGGGATCAATGTGATTACCGGATATCAAAAGGTTAATACTAAAAAAAAAAAGAAGAGAAAACTTAAAACTATAAATTTTAATGAATTAAGTTTTTTTTTCTTCAATTCAAATTTAAAAATAATAATTTATTAGCTTTTGTTTAGTATGGTTATAGTTTTGTTTTTTAAAATTCAAACAATCAAAATTAAAAATTAAAATTACTAAACTTTTGAGTATAGAATTTTGAAATAAATACTTAAAATTTTAAACTTAATTAATTTATAGAACTACTTAATTTTATTCTAGAGTTTCTAAACTTTTGAAAATTAAAATTTAAAATTCAAAATTACAACCATAATAAATGAAATCTTAATAAATATGTTATGAAATATATTAAATGAAAAATATACTAATTATTGTCCTAAAAAGATATGAGTTACGGTTAGGTCTGTCATACAAAGGCCCCATTTAGTATAACGGGTTTGGGGTAGCGGTTAGTGGTTTTATCTAAACTGCTAAATATAGGTGTTTGGTAAATTTATATATTTTGAAACCGCAATAAATAAAGTGTTTGGTAAAATTTTTATTTAGCGGTTTAAGACTAGCGGATAACGGTTAGAGTCCAAACCGCTAGCGGATTGAAAAAGTTAGTTTATGTAGCTTTTTGTACCAAACCGTTAACGGATTAAATTTTTTAATTTTATTTATAAATTTATCCATTTTAATTTTTTAATTTGTGGTCACATTTTTTAATTAATAATTATCTAATAAATTTCAATTTTGTTTTTTTTACCTTTAATAACATTAAGTTATTATAATATTTTTTTTGTACATTAATTTATAATTAAAAAATATATTATCTTAAAAGACAAAATTTGTTAATTAGGCAAAATGATTTATTTTTTATTTAAAAATAATATACTTTAAAATAAAAATAAAAATGAGGGTGTAATTACATTATTATAATTAATTTTATTTTTTTATTTTATTATTAT